CTCTGGACACGCTCGAGTCATTTAATGTCCTTTTTGTAGTGAGGGGCCCAAAACTGAACACAGTTATTGAGGTGCGGCCTCACCAGTGCCGAGTACAGGGGTAAGATCCCTTCCCTGTCCCTGCTGGCCACGCTATTGCTGACACAAGCCAGAACGCCATTGGCCTCCTTGGCCCCCTGGGCACACTGCTGGCTCCTGTTCAGCCACATGTCAATCAGCACCCCCAGGTCCCTCTCTGACTGGCAGCTCTCCAGCCACTCCTCCCCAAGCCTGTAGCGCTGCTGGGGGTTGTTGTGGCCCAAGGGCAGCCCCCAGCATTTGGCCTTATTGAAACTCCTCCAGTTGGCCTCAGCCCATCGCTCCAGCCTGTCCAGGTCTCTCTGCAGAGCCTCCCTACCCTCGAGCAGATCAACACTCCCACCCAACTTGGCGTCATCTGCAAACTGACTGAGGGTGCACTCGATCCCCTCATCTAGATCATCAATAAAGATGTAAACAGGAGTGGTCCCAAAACCGAGCCCCAGGGGACACCACCCGTGACCAGTCACCAAGTGGATTTAACTCTGTAGAAGTAGAAAGTCAAAAAGCGAAGTAGAAAGTCACAACCTCCTCCTAGAATGCCGATCGTGATTCAGGACAACAGCCTTCCTTAAGGTCCTCCCCCATGGAACCTGATCTTATAGAAGCTGCTAACAAGCGGCATGTTTAGCAATCCCAGCTCCGCCAGCAGACAGGCCTTCCCAGTCAAATCCTTGGCACAAAGGGAGGAGGAGTACATGGAGGCCAGGAAATGACTACCAGGCAGCACAAGCCCTGAAGGAGAGCAGAAGAAACCCATTCTAGATAGACCATTGAGGATCTCCCAGCCAGAAGAGACCAGACAGCCCAATAACGTGGTTAGGCAGACTCCATGATCTTAAGGGTGTTTTCCAACCTAGATAATTCTACGATAGGGTTTGTATATCTCCATTTTTGTTCTTTTAGCAGCTAACAGTAAGAGGTAGACTGAGAGTCAGATTTTTAGAATTTTAATATCGCATTCTCAGGATTCTCCTTTAGACTTGTGAGCTTAAGAAGTGCAAGACAAAGCCAGTTTGTTTCAGTCTCTGCCTTGACACTTGTGAGTTGTACCTCTTACACCTGAGAGAACAGTGAATGAATGCACTTGGTCTCAACTGGTTTTCGATGTTTGACTCACCTGTATAGGGAAGAAACAGTTTTATCTTGTCTATTTAACATGCAAACAAGCATATATATGCATATGTGCTTCCGTGGAAGGAAATCTAAGAGAAGGTGGGTTTGGTGTATGAAAATAGAGGATACTCCTTTTTTTTGTTTGCTCTGTTTTTGCAGAGCACTGCATGTTAGTGGAAACACTGATAAGAAGAGCTGCTGCCTGAGAGAGACAGTGATAAACTGCAACATAAACAGCCTTCTGATATCAAACTGCTGAAGTTCAACTACAGCTAAGTTGTAAAGACTGCGGACTTTACAAGGAAGATGAATAACTTACTTTCTGACTCCTGTTTTTACGTGCAGGTAGCATGTGTCTGCCTAGCAGAGCCACCAGAACATCAAAAGCACTGGGGACAAATAGAGTGGCGATACCGTGGCCTTATGTATGAAAGTGAGAAACTTCCTTAGCAGACCAGAAAGTGTGCTCCTCAAAATATTCTGGCTTTGTTAACAGGCTAAAACTTTTGCCCATACCACAACTTTCCATGTGCCTCAATGAGTATGTAATAAATATCCATTAATCTCCAAGAAATTGATGTCACGCTTGCTAAAATTAAATTAATTGTCTTAAAAATGTATACACAATGTAAGCTCCATCTGTGCTCACAGTATGTTCTGATCCTTTCAGTGTTGTTTCTTTAGCAATTATATCGGTAGCGTATGTAGAAAAATAACATCAAAAGTAGTTAACTACCAAACCACAAATACTACCTCTTCCTGTCTGTTAATGAGAGCTAATTCCACTATTAGTCACTATTTTTCATTCAACTTACTGATTCCCTTTATTGAATTTCCTTTTTCTTCTTCTGTAAATGCCACCTTCTTCACCTTCTGGAATCAAAGAAGAGTAGGCAGTGTCACATGGCATGTCAAGTTACTTACATGTTCAACCAACAAACCAAATTTTCAAACCAAGTTTGAAAAAAATCTTGTTATTTTATTAATGATAAAAGATAGCAACATTTTTTACAAAACCTGTGTTCTTTTTAACCAACTTGAAAAATGAATTTAATAGTTGGAACATTAAAGAAAAAATCTTTCAAGGTTAGGATTAACAATGTAATTCTTGACAATTTACCAAAAACAGATGAACATACACAACAGGAATAAATTATACCTTACCATTTACAGTTTGGAAATTTCTGTGTTCCCTGCTGAAACTGAATTGCTGGGATCGTGTGTAACAGCTTTTTACCAATACAGTAATGACAGAGAAGAAACCAAGAATACTGTGCTGAAAAGAAATTTAAAACTGGGGGAGGAAATTCTTAGCGAAAAGGTAGTGTTTTGCATGTGTGAGAAATTGCCTGTCGAAGTAGACATATGTAGAATCTGGTAAAAGAATAATGGAAATTACCATCCAGCTATGATCTCAGGAGAACAACCTCAGCCTACATAAACAAATTTGACAGGTGTCCACTGAAAATAAACTTTTTGTAAACTGTTTATCAAGCATGTACTGCAGCTAGTTTTTATAACATTGATTTGTGGTTTTAGGTCTCATCTCAAAAACCATCAAAGGATGAAATGTAAAAATGTCCTTCTGCAATTGACTGAACCATATACTTTTTAAAACTTCCACAAGTGAGATCTGAATAAGCAGCATCTACTTGAGATCTACACCAGTGTCAAAACACCTAAACATACTTTATGCAGTTATTCATATTTCAGCATTAGCTAAAGCTTACTTGGTCCTTCACTTTTATTATCCTGTGGGAACTGAGAGTCCCATTTGTTGGAAGATGCACTAGGGAAGTCTTGTATCAGGTGTTCTCAAAGCAAACCACAACAACACTGAGTCCTTACAGGATACTAAGCAAGACTAACTCATGGAAATCATCAGCATGTTTTCTTCTACTGCAGAAATGTGATGTGACTACAGAAATGTAAGAGTCCTATTTTTTATTTGTAGTAAGAGTGCTCTACCTGGGATATTTGATTGGAAACATTACTCAGATAGCAGTTTAGTCATAATGTAATTCCTGTAACTTGCACAAGTGTGGAGGATGCATGAAGTCTAGTGGTTGGAACAGGAGACCAGACCATGGCATTTATTCCTCATCTTGCCACTGCTTGCTATGTGAACCTGAAAAGTTGCTTAACCTCTACAATTCATCTTCCCCTGCAAATTGAGAGTAAGACTTTGGTTTTACGTGCAGCTAAACAAAGGTACTGACTTGCTGTAGAAAACCCGTGCTGACTGTATCACCCTACCTGTCTTTCATTTTCCCTCAGTTTAATAGTACATGAGGAAATCTACCAGAAAGGAATAAAAATTGCATTGCTAATTTAAGTGGTTCTTGGGTTTATACACACGCACAAGCTGGATTTCTTATAAAATATAATTTTCTTAAGTCTTTGTTGACTCATATGTTGTTTTCCTAACCTCAATGAAAGGCTGCTGTAAAATGTGATGCAATAATGTTATGAAGGAAAAGAACAAATTTCAATATAGGTACCTCTGGAGGAAGGAAAGGAAATAATGGGTCATACTTCTGCTTTTTGTTGAGACAAAACAGAAAAGGAAATAAATCAAGGAACTAAAGTGCAAGATAACGCGGTGGCAGCGTATGGCACATGGCAGAGGCTCTTGACCCTCCCCAGGGGGGATTCCGCAGCCCAACAGATGGCTATTTCGGCAGAGGGCACCAGAACAAGTATGTAGTAGTGCCTCTGATTTGCTCTGCCCACCGAAATCTGATACCCTCCTAGCTTCCAAGTGGGTCTGCATTCTTGTTAGGCTGCAAGTTCTTGCACTTTGTAACGCTTCAAAATTTTGCCAGTTTAGGGAGAGATGTTGCTGAATGACACTGGAAGCTCTGGGATTAAAGCAAACCAGGCAATTGTATGTAGGCAGAAAGGACCGCCACGGGAATCCGTGCACATACTACTAAATCAGTATACTGCATCTCTAAATGTCACTGGGACCAGGAGTATTATAAGATGGGGCAGTTAAGTGAAACTTCTAATGAGAAGTCATCAAAGGGAAGTTTCTTACTTTCCCTATCATTTCTTCTTTTTTTTCCACAGCAACTGAAGCCACAGGGTATATTTATATAATTTTTTTTTTGCATTTCTAGTAGCCTGAAAACACAAATGCTAATATACTGCACTGATACTCTGCAAATCTATTATGTATTGCATCAAAGCACTCCAAGAGGTTTTACAAAATTTTAAAACATACCTGATAAAGTTTGGTGGGTTATATAGTATTATTTGCTTGTGCAAATTGAATGGTTGAGAGAAGCATTCATAGAGGAATTTTACACTTATGCCCTTCACATTCCTTTATATAACAAAAGCCTGAAGGATGTAAAGGCAATCTAAACTTTCTATGTTATGGTTGAGATACTGAGCATATCCTTCCACACTGGAAGGTGTTATTTTGCTATCATCCTCTTATTATTTTAAAAAAAGCATGTATAATTAGTTCTAAAAATTGCATCTGAATTACATGGGCTTGGATGATATTCAGCACGCTCCTTCATGAGTATTGGGTTTCTTTGCAACGACTATGTTAGCAGATATGCTGCAGACTTCTGCATTTGTCAGTGGAATTTTATAAAAGTGCAGAAATTTTAGGTTTTGTTAACATGACGGTCAAGCACACAAAAGTGCTAAAGATCTTGTTTTTCATTATCTTTTGGTTTGTATGATATATCCAAGAATCTTGTCTGTGTGAAATAATGGGGACATTTTTTTAAATGCTTGCAGCCAGTTGGAAAAATATTAAATTCTCGCCTTTCATTCTGATATCACAGGTTTCAAGATGACAAATTTTCCATTATCAGCTTTTCAGGTCACATATATAACTAAAATAGCAAACTGAAACATTGCCAATGCATTCAAAAACAATTTTATTTTATGAAGATAGCTATTCTGTTACCACGGTTCTAGATGAGTTTTATACAGAAAGAGTAATATAAAAATTGAATCATCAGATGATACTATTTGACAGTTACACTGATATTTTACCAGTTTTTCTTGTTGTACAGGCTAATATAGGAATTAATTTCCAATATAGAATCTGAAGAGCATAACTAGCTTGGCAACACTTGTAAAGTCCTAGAACCGTGCCTACACATTTTCCCCTTCTAGAAGGAAAATAGAAAAAGAAAGAATGGAAAATCAAGATGACATGATGCAAAATCAAAACTAATTCCTGGGGGGTTTAAGGACATAGAAGAAAGAACAATGAGATAAATGACAGCATATTTAATAAGAAGCTGAAATGAGATATGAAAACCGTAATCCTAAAAGCAAATACTGTTTTCTGTTTCATATGCTAAAGCAGTGTATCATGCAGGAAAAAATGCTGGTTAACTGGAGAAAGCAGACATAAAAAATAGTCTAGGTATCTAGTGCGATCAGTTCCCAAAGAGAGAACGAGTTTATCTGCAAATTTTTGAACTTTTAAAATACAGAATAAAGAATAGTCATTAGAAAAGTTTTACTCTGATGAGGGTCTAAAATGGGTTTTGAGATTTAGAGTGCTCATCCTTGAAATGTTACTTAATAAGAACCATAGCTCATTTCAGATCCCACTTCTTTAACATTAAACAATGCAGTACTGTGGTAAAGATATGTTGTAATACTGTAAATTGTTGTTAGCAAGTAAATACTGGTAATAGAATTCACTGAGTGATAATAGAATTAAATCTGAGGGGAAACATTAGCTACCTGAAAATGAAACATCACAGCAATAAGGAACCATATATAGGAACTAAGTACAGGAAGTGGTGAAGTCTCCAAGTCGAAGTGTTAAAAACCAAACTGAACAAACCACTGGAATGATGTACTTTGTATAATCACCTGCTATAAAGGCGTAAGAGGATGTCCTCAAGCCTTGACCATTTCCAATTTCTGTGACTTTGAACAAAGGTTGCAGAGAACACCTACTCTTTTAGTTCCTAGTGCCAGCTTCTGCATCTGAACAGGATACTAAAAATTGTTGGAGAACGGCTTGCAGAGAGCAAGGCCATGGGTCTCTGCAGAAGCTGATTGCAGCCACCTGAGGTAAACAGAGGAAAAAACCCAGCGTACAGTGATGCTAACAAGGACTGTTATGATAACAAAGAGAGAAGTTGTGGCACATTATGGCCTTGGGGGTGAGACAAAAAACAGCCCTGAGAAAGAAGCAGGCCAGAAGGAAGATGTTTGTGCATACCTGAAATACCACAGGGGGCTGGGATATTATAATGTAGCTTTTTACATCTATCCAATAGATTTGCGAGTAGTATGCATGATTATTGTAGAGTGCTTCTATAAGGTGTGATTTCTTTCAATAAAGTTGAAGCTTGCTCTATCATTCACATTGAATCGGCTGCTTGCTTCCTCCGCCCACCGCAAATAATGTCAGTAAGGTTCACATTTCTACGGTAACATTTAGGAGAGGAGTCTGCAAAAGATGGCAATTGCTGATTGAAAATTTTCTGTGGTATGTACAGTTTTAAATTAGAATAATATGATGAAGACAATCATTATATTGGTCTAGAATAACAATGCAGACATACTACTTAGTATTTAATCTCCAAGACGGAGGGCTAATTAGATAGTAGTGTAATGATTCAGCTTTTTTTTTTTTTTTTTTTTTTTTTTTCTTTTAAAACAAACTATGCTGCAATTTGCCAGTTGGTTATATGAAAGACTGTGCTTCGGGACAAGGACTGTTACATAATTTATACAGTCATTAAGAGCAAGTGGTATTAATGTTTCCTTGGGGCATTGTAGGAAGCATCATAACGCCAATATAACGATAAAAATATAATAAGGTACTAACCTGGGATCATCCCTGACTTCCAAATCTAACTGTGATATTAAATCATTCATTCAGATATTTTATTATGTAATGATGATACTAAGGATTCTGATGCTTACAAACATTTAGATTTCTGCTTGTAGACTTCTAAATATTTCCTGTAAATCTCCTTGAAATAAAACAGCCAGTATGCTTAAGATTCACACCTCTGTGTCAAACTTTCCAATTTACACTTTTGTAACTCACAGTAAGTTAAATGTGGTCTTTGTCAAGATCTTAGTATATCTTATGTATCCATAAGATTCAAAATGCCCGTGAATATGGCAAGAAAACCCTGTTTTCAGAAATTCATTTAATAGCTGTTTTTAATATTATTTTATTCAAGCACTAATTTTGATAAGCATTATGCTTAGTTCTTTTGGTGGAAAAGACTAAATAATGGACACAATTTCTTTAGTAAAACTGAGCAAGTAATACATTTAGCTACTATCACATTTCTTAACATGAAAATCTCTCAGCAATCAATACAAGAGCCAGAAATACAAACTGAAGATTAAACTCTTCTTATGTAGGCTTTCCCTCATGTCAAGTGCAGCTCTATTATTCATTTCTGTGTTTCTGTCTGCATATCACAACCCAGCTTCCTTTTGCAGGTTGCTGCCTCAAGCCCCTGGCTCTGGGTCTGGTTACCTCTGACCTGACAGTGCCCAATTTTAATAGTATGTCAAGGTCATGTAGACCTCTGCAGTTTGGATGTCGAACTGATAATACAGCGCATGCTCCTTACAGTGTTATAAAGCATTTAGAAATGCAGTGATTCCATACGCAGCATCTATATTTTATAACTTAATTTTAAAATTACTTCAGTAAACACACTGCAGTTCACATACTCTGTGATACAGGAAGCTTGGTGGGACCCAAACGCACCTTACCTGTGGTGCTGGTTGAGACTGAATTAAATGTGTCCTGCAGCAAAGAAAGCTATGGGGTACCTTCTCCAGCAGCAAGCCCAGCTCTGCGCCTTCCCATAGGCCTGGTGGGCAACACAAGGCCTTTGCCTTGCATAGCCACCTAAGCAGACCTGGATGAATAACAGCAGTCGTGATTTTTTTCCAAATAATAAACCAACCCACAAGCTCTACAGTTTGATGGCATGAGCAATCACAGTGGCAAAGAACAGGGGAACCGCAGTGTAAGCCGAATAGAGAAAGCTCCCTCCTGCTGTAGGCGCTGAGAGAGAAAATGGCGGGTTAGGGCTTTGGGAGAATCCGACCACGCAAGGCTCCTCAGCCTACACTTCACCTGGGAAAAGTCACGACCCTGTAGCCCCGCTGCGCTCGCAGTTATGGCCAGCAGCAACAAGACGAGGAGATGAGCGAAAATCCCACCCAAAATGCAAAGGAGGGCAGCGAGGAGCGCGCACCATCCTAGAAATGAACCCGCAGCGAGCGGCAGCACCCCGTCCGGCGGGTCGAGACAAGAGGAAGCGACCCCGCCCCCAACCGGCCCCGCTCTCCCGGCACTCCCACCCGTGACTCGGCTTTTTCTCCCAGTCCCGTCCCGTCCCGCC